CAGGCACCCGCACAACATGACCCGTGCAACGAAGTTGATGTTGAAGAATCATTGCTTTGACACTGTTGAACTTTGCTTCAACACTGGCGAGTTCAGCAACCGAACCTCTCTGTTGCGGCAATTGCCTCATCAGGTGCACACCTAGGAGTAGCTGAGAGACGTCGTAGGACCTTTTCCTAACTTGTAAGTGTGCTTTTGACAACAAAGAGTTAATTCCTCTCCCTGGACATTCCTGGGATCTTCTGCATGCAAAGCAGATGCTCTTTGCCTGCCAGGCAGTGTAGATAATACTGATTTAGATGGACCGATTGCCTAAACTCGCTAAACTTCCTGTGCTGCTCCTCTCCAATCAGAAATGGATGCTCAGATACTTATTTATCGTCTGCTGGTGGCAATGGATCTGACACTTCTCTAGATACAGCACTGGATTTCTTTCTGCGATTAAAACATAAAAAGAATGGCACATACAGTTGACTAGATCCTTGTATTACTGTATGCCTGATGCTCACTCCCTTTGTATTTGGGAACCTGTCACTTTCCATTACTCACCCTTCTTTATTACTGGGAGAGAATCACGCAGTAATCTTAAAACTGAAGCATCTCAGCCCGAGATGTCTTGTATTTTTTTTTTTAAGGGTGGAAAATAAAACCCAGCTTTACAGTTGCAATAAAAATATGATTCTCTACAGGTATATAAAACAAAACAAAAAAAAGGGGGGAGGTTTCACTGCCCATCAGAGTCAATTAGGTCTCAAAGTACTTCATAACGACTAAGTTAGAGCAGATCCGCAATAAAAGATCTGTGGCCCTGAGCAGCTTGCACAACATAGCCCTTCTCTTTCCGAAGCGACTTGCTATTCAAAAACCTCTGTGGAGGAAAAAGTAGCAGCTTGCTTAGTTGCCTGAGGGATTAAGGACTGAACATGAAACACCCCCCTCGCTTCCCCTCATCTTTCTGCTAAAGCTCCCTCCATGTCAAAATAAATTTCTTTATAAGCTGCTCCCACTCTTAGGCTGAAGGAGGCATGCCAATTTTCAGCGGTTGTGGCGATCATACAGGGTCCCCGGACGTTTCACTTTCTATTGATCCCTGTGCCACCACTTTATTTCTCGCTGCCACCACCCAGGCCCTACCTGGTACAATACTGAGTCCAGTCAGGGTTAAACTGGAACATAAACTTCTGTTTATTGATTGCAGTTTAACAAGCTTGTGGTTTCATAAACGGTATCGGTCCATTACAATCATGGGGTGCCTATCCAGACCTATAACTTCCGCTATCTGCTCTCACTCACTAAACCACCTCTCAGATATTTACAGTGGTACCTCGGGTTACATACGCTTGGGGTTACAGACACTTCAGGTTACAGATTCCGCTAACCCAGAAATAGTACCTTGGGTTAAGAACTTTGCTTCAGGATGAGAACAGAAATCGTGTGGCAGCAGCGGGAGGCCCCATTAGCTAAAGTGGTGCTTCAGGTTAAGAACAGTTTCAGGTTAAGAACGGACCTCCGGAACAAATTAAGTACGTAACCAGAGGCACCACTGTACTTGTCTTCCTAGCTCCTAACTGCTCCTGACTCAGCTTATTTCACTATACTAACTCAACCTACCCTCAGACTCTATCCCAATTCGCTCCCACTCCAAACAACCACCCAACTCCCAACAAACTCCCCCCTTTGCCCCTTCCAGAGCTGGTTTTATAGTCCCTCTGACTCCACCCCCCTGGGTTCTGATTGGGTAACCTGTTTAACTATTTCACCTCCAGCACTCTCATATGTTAACATCACAGCGGTTTCATAGAATCGCAGAGTTGGAAGGGACCCCCAAGGTCATCCAGCTCAAACCCCTGCAATGCAGGAATCTCAGTTAAAGCATCCATGAGAGATGCCCATCCAACCTCTGAGGAAGGGGAGACCACAACTTCCAGTCCATTTCACCTATTTGCCTGGTCAGGAAGGGATAAGTGGGCAGATAAATGAATTCAGATTTTCACCAGAAATTATTAACAGGATAAATTTTTGTGAATGGATTTGTTCTTCTGAGATACACCCTCAACCAACCCCCCAAAGATGGGAATGTAATGATTATTCCTCGATTCCTTTTTGATTGACGCCTGAATTCGTTGTTTGCGATACCGTATAGATATATATATATTCCTGCATTTTTCTGTGGGTCGTTTTACCCACAGTGTTTTCTGAACTGATGTTTCGAGTTGTCTCTAAGGAAACATGCAAGTTAAAATGTTTTTACACAGAAAAAAAGAAAGAAAAATTGCTTAGTGCGACTGACAACACACTTCTGTGTGAAAGACGGTACTGAGGGTTTTAGAAATAAGTTACTTTTTGAGACTGTACTCGCCAACAGGTCTATGCCAAGTAAAACTTAGTTGCAATACCACCCCACACATTGGGCCTCAGTAATGTTACACCTGCGTAACATTAAAGTCAACAAAATGGCAAGAAAGGAGGTTAAGGATGTGTTGAATTGTACCCTGGACAGGAAGTTCACACACCACACACAGGACAAGGCAACATTAACTGTTGTCTCTATCTACATTCCTGATAGCCACAAGATAATGGGATGATTGATTGATTGATGTATGGTGGTGGTGAAGAATTGATTTTCTTTTGCTTCATTGTGAATCAGGTGTGTGTGTGTTTTTTTTTAAAAAGGTGAAATTTATATTTTTAATCTCATTTTCATTTTTAATTATTTTGCTTCCTTATCTTTCGAGGATGCTTGGATTTAGTCCTTTACTACGGACTTTCCTTGTATTTTTTAGCAGCTGATTTTTATGTGGCAATGTTTCTTTAGTTAAGTTTCATTTAGTTAAGTAGATAAATAGTGGGAAGGTAAACGGTGTTTCCGTGCGCCGTTCTGGTTCTCCAGAAGCGGCTTAGTCATGCTGGCCACATGATCTGGAAGCTGTACACCGGCTCCCTCAGACAATAAAGCGAGATGAGCGCCGCAACCCCAGAGTCGGCCATGACTGGACATAATGGTCAGAGGTCCCTTTACCTTAACCAGCTGCTGAAAACTGCAGGAGGGGTGAGTGCTGCTGCACTCTGGTCCTGCCTTCATGCTTCCTACAGGTTGGCCACTAAGAGAACAGGATGCTGAGCTAGACAGGCCCCCAGCCTGATCCAGTAGGCTCTTCTTATGTGAGTCCCCACCCCATGCCAGCCTACTGGTGGCAATCAGTTCTACTCACTCCACCTGCTCTAACAAGAACCAAGTGCAGCACATTACGCTGTAGTTACAGAACTGAAAGTGCAATTAAGGTGCCAGGCCTCCTTTAGCATCCTGCATGTCACTTATTGCAATTCCTCCATCTGCCCACCCCAGAAATAATTGAAACGCTGCCGGAGGATACTCATGCTGCTTTGAAATTCAAATTTCAGCCCACGTGGAATTGTGATCTGAGTTGTTGCTAGGTGCCTTCAGAGAGCACCTCGGCTTTCCTCCCAGTAACAATAAGCGAAAACTGGCACGCGATTGAAAACGCTCTAAGCCTGGGTTCAACAATCTGCTGACCTCAGTACAAAAGTTAATTGCGTATGGGATGCAATTTCAAGCTGCTCTCAAAAGAGAAATCTCAACATACATTCTGAAGAGGCGATGGAAAAGAAAGCAGGTTCAGAAAGGCTGCAAAATGTTTTACGAAATCTGAAATGCAGAATATGAGTATCTTCACTAATACTAAGCTATGAGCTAGTGGCAATAGGAACACCCTCACACAGCGTATTTTTTTAGGAGTACACCTATGATGTACATGTTTGCTAACAAGTACATCATACAGGGGGACACAGGTGGTGCTGGGGGTTAAACCACAGAACCTAGGATTTCCCAATCAGAAGGTCGGCAGTTTGAATCCCCATGACGGGGTGAGCTCCCGTTACTCAGTCCCTGCTCCTGCCAACCTACCAGTTCGAAAGCACATCAAAGTGCAAGTAGATAAATAGGTACCGCTCCGGCAGGAAGGTAAACGGCGTTTCCGTGCGCTGCTCTGGTTCGCCAGAAGTGGCTTAGTCATGCTGGCCACATGACCCGGAAGCTGTACGCCGGCTCCCTCGGCCAGTAAAGCGAGATGAGCACCGCAACCCCAGAGTCGGCCATGACGGGACCTAATGGTCAGGGGTCCCTTTACCCTTTACATCATACAGGAGCTGTGACTAACTGCAAATCCCCATAGATTACACATGCAAATCGAATCCTGGCTCTGGGCAAAAGAACGATGAGATGCCACACAAAAGCAAATTTTGGCATTCGAACAGGGGCAAGTGGTCACTCATTGAAAGTTTTTTTAAAAAATTACACCGGCATTTCTGAACGTGAAAGGCGGGTCCGTCAGGGAGATATGAAACACCAGGAAAGGGAAGTGAAAATAAAACCCTCCAAATGCATAGTTTGTAAAAAGTCAATATATAATCACACTGTTTTTCAAAGGCGGGTGTGAAGGTGGGTCAGTGATGGGCGTAAGAGAGGGGCATGGCTGGCAAAGAGATGTGGTTTGAAGAGAGTCCACAGAGCCAGGCAGAGAGGCCTATGCAAACAAGGCAAAAGAAAGGTGGGATGGATTCCAAGCTACTTATTGCTTTTTCCAAGAGCAGAGAGTCAAAAATTGTTTTGTTCATGGCTTCGTTACCGGGGTAAAAGAACACAAATTAGAAAAAACATTTGCAGAAAACCCTCTCTTTTATCTCAAGCTTGGACCAGATGACTCTTGGGTCCCTTCCAACCCCAGAATTCTATAATTCTAGTGGCTAACCTAATGGTTGCCTTTGCAGCTTTTGCAGCCTTTGAACTCTATCCAAGAGTCCTTTGAACTGGGCGCTGTGGCAGAGCCAAAGGAATAGCACACTTTTCTCCGCAGCTGTAATAACGCTACTTCAGAATTCCCCAGTTCCCATTACTAGTGAGTTATAGTCAAAGGATGGTAAGACCAGAAGCATTTTGTGTTTAAGGTGCGAATCCCTGCAGATGTTTTTGCAGCGCTTACCTCAATCACTCTGGAGTCGAAATCTTCGTATGTTTCTGTCGGTAAAGAAAATGCAAGTCAGAGATGTACAGCTCACATACACATAAATGCATCATCTCCATATAATATAGCTGTATAAAAATGTTACCTTTCCTACGTCTGATTCAAGCATGATTAAGCCATGCAGAGTTCCCAGGGAAGAGGGACTGATTATTAAACCACTATGGGAAGCATAGCTCTGTGAAGGAACCAGGGGTCTCCTATCAACTCTCAGCACCCATAACAAATTACAGTTCCCAGGAATCTTTGGGGGGAAGCCATGACTGTTGAAGTGGCATAGGTAAAGGTAAAGGGACCCCTGACCATTAGGTCCAGTCGTGGCCGACTCTGGGGTTACGGCGCTCATCTCGCTTTATTGGCCGAGGGAGCCGGTGTACAGCTTCTGGGTCATGTGGCCAGCATGACTAAGCTGCTTTGGCAAACCAGAGCAGCGCATGGAAACGCCGTTTACCTTCCCGCCGGAGCGGTACCTATTTATCTACTTGCACTTTGATGTGCTTTTGAACTGCTAGGTTGGCAGGAGCTGGGACCGAGCAACGGGAGTTCACCCCGTCGCGGGGATTCGAACCGCCGACCTTCTGATTGGCAAGTCCTAGGCTCTGTGGTTTAACCCACAGCGCCACCCACATCCCTCTGAAGTGGCATAACGGTGCTTAAAAAGGTATAGAGCAGATGGGCCCCAAATTTCAACTCGCTTGTGCGTTTGCATTTGTGGCAAAGGGGAAAAGAATTGGAGAGACAAGGAAGGCAGTTTTATGAACGTGGTGAGTCCCAATGTTACTGTGCTTCTTCTGCTGATTTTCCACTGCTAAAAGCTCTGCAAAGTGTTAAAACTAGCATGCCATGTTAGGAAGCGAACAGATTGCATACAGACAATGACATTTTCGGCTAAATTTAGAGCTGCCTCCTTGCACACGCTATCGGCCAAAGGGATACCGTAAGCTGGCTGAGCAGTCAGGCATAGATCGCGGAGTGTTTTAAGGTCTAACAGGAGCAGCCAGGCTATAAACGGCTCACATGTACCGTGCCGACACCACAGCAGGGTATTGTTTTAGAAACGATCATGCTGAATGACCAACTATCAAAGGGTTTGCAGTGATTCAAATCAAACAAATAAACAGGCTCAGGTCTTATCCAACACATGTTGCTCGCACAGCGACAGAGGGAAGTTGTGGGGCTTGGGGAGGGAGATGCATGACCACCCCAAGCACTTCAAATCAAGTCATGTCTCAGAGTTAACAGCCATCTTGCTCTGCATTTCCAATTGAAAAGGCTGCCAGGGGTGGGGAGCCTGTAATCAGTCAGATGCAATCACTGCAACATCTCTGAAGAGTTAAGGGAACAGCGCTGAGCCAAAGTACTTTGCACAGACCGGGCTTCTAAATGCTGGCCGCACAGCACCCATTCCCACCCAGTTCTGCCCACTGCAGGTGTTAGGGACTTGCTCCAGGAAACTGATGGGGCTGCAGTGGATGTGCTGGAAATGAGGACAGCATTCTGCAAGGCTGCCAACTCCCACTGGCAGGCAGGCAGAGCATGGCAAGCGGCATGTCACATCAGACACATCGCTCGAAAACGCCAGAAACCTCTCTGAACCCAAAGCGCCATAGCTCAGCGGCAGAGTGCATGATTTGCATGTAGTCGCTCCTGAGTTTCATCCCCGGCACCTCCAGCTCAAGAAGATAAATTGTCTGCCGGAGACCCTGGAAAGTCACCGCCAGCCAGAGAAGTACTTCTGCATTAAACAGATTGACTGCCCGAGTCACTGTACAGCTTTCTATGGCTCTTTAGGGTGATCAAGGAAGGACCACGGCTCAGTGGAAGAGCTTTGCATGCATAAGGTCTCGGGTTCAATCCTTGGCATCTTCAGCAGGACTGGGGATAGCTCCTGCCTGAAACCCTGGAAAGCTGCTGCCGGTTAGTGTATGCAGTATGGAGCTAGCTGGACCAAGTATAAGGCAGCTTCCTAGGTTCCTGTTATTAGATTTTCTTGGTGTTGTTTTATCTGTATATTTTTCAGTTGTCCATTGCAAGCCGCGTTGAGCAGTCAGGCAGGTTGCCCACATATTTTTTTTAAGATACCCATAAGTTCAGATGACAATTTATAGTCATGGGAAAAAGAAAGTACCCCCTCTTTGAATTCTGTGATTTTACATATTGGGACATAATAAGAACCACCTGTTCCTTAGAAGGCCTTAAAATTAGGTAAATGCAACCTTGTACGAACAACAACACATAACACATTACACTGTATCATGATTTATTTAACAGAAGAGAGTCTTGACGGCTGGGCAGAAATGCCTGGAGGGCCATACATAACCTCCTGAACCCGAGGTTCCCCATCCCTGATCAAACTGTAGCTTATAGAAACCTTTTCTTAAGGGAGTTATTAGCAACCCCAGATGTTCTATCGCTGAGCTACACAGACATGCACAGAATAAGTTTTATGAAATGCACAAATAAAACAACTAGAATGCACCTAGTTATCTTACCTCCAGTAGGACTTGGATCCGGGGGACCTAGGCTGATACCTCCCCAAGATCTTCCAGTCCATCCTCTCTCCCTCTTCACCTTTATCTTTCTTTTCCTGTCAAACTCTTCCCGCAGACGGAGCTTTTCTGCTTGCACCTTCTCCTGCTCCTCTTTATCCCGCTGATCAATGGTCTGGACTGCTCCTTGTTTCAGTACTGGAGCATTGAGGCCAGGCCAGAGGAAACCTGAGCGTCCTAAGGCAGACAGAAAGCACAAGAACAACTTAGGGCACTTCCCAGATCACAGCCATAACCGTGAAATGAGCTGTAGCTGTACAACAAGCATCGTCCGGTGTTAAGATTCAACTGCTTTTTAGGATGAATGGGCTGGGGAGCTAAACTACAATTAAGGAAAACAGTGCGCACTAAGTATATTGATAATAAATACATTTTATTTCTCTGTTTGCGGATATATGACCTGCTTCAGCTGACAAAGCAGTGTACACTGAGACAGAACACAGAAGAGGATGAGCTCAGTGAACCAAAAGCAATAAGCAACATTTATTTAGCCAACATGGGGGTGGGGGTGTCCCATTTTGGGACTGGGGGACTGGATGTATTTCAAAACAAATAAAAATACAATACACACAGATCTCGCTTTACAAACATTCGCTACGTGAAAAAAAATCACTTATACGAACATGCGGAATTACAGTGGTACCTCTGGTTACAAACTTAATTCATTCCGGAGGTCCACTCTTAACCTGAAACCATTCTTAACCTGAGTTACCACGTTAGCTAATGGGGCCTCCTGCCGCCGCTGTGCAATTTCTGTTCTCATCCTGAGATAAAGTTCTTAACCCAAGGTACTACTTCCGGGTGAGCGGAGTCTGTAACCCGAAGTGTTTATAACCCGAGGTGTCTGTAACCCGAGGTACCACTGTAGTACCCGAACCTCGCTGTGACACCACAGAATCAGATATTCGCACAGAGAGTATTTTTTACTTTCTTGTTTACACACCTCCTAGACTTAGCATTCTGTGGCTGACTATGTCCTCCTGGAGCTGGCTGGTTGTGTGTGTGCCCTCAATAGGGTTTCAAATTATTTATATGTATTCCTTCTGCAAACTTTGGGGGGTCCCCGAGCATGCAGATACCCCCCTTTCGCATCTCAGCAGCCGTGGTTTGGTGCTGAGTGCTGATGGGAGTGGAGCTAGAGTTCACTCTTAGAGGGACCCAGTATGAATGAAGAGGTTTCTGGCCTCTTGCTTCTGTTGTGGATTTACCTTCGCCAATGATCTGGCCTCTATTGAGATCCTTCTTCAGCTTCTTCTTGGTCCTTTTCCCTCTTCCTTTCCTTCCACTGGCTCCGCTCTCTGCCAAAACGCCTTTCCAGAGCTGATCAGCCGTCACTGAAACAGATATTGCACACAACTCACCCAAATTCTTAACAGCAGCAATTCAAGGGTGGGGTGAGGGAAACATGCTCAGGGGTCATTTAATCTAAGGTATGCCAAGCCGACTGTGCCTTGAGAAAGTGTTGAAATGTCACCGAGAGACCGTTTGCAGGGATCAAAAATGAGGTCACGGGTATCTTGGGTCTGTAGCCTGACCTATTAAGGCTCTGGATGGATAAAGCTCGCATCTTCTTCACAACAATCTTGAATGATCATCATGGCTTGCTGAATATGAATGCCTACCAAATCATGAGTGTGTGTCTGGAAACATGGCTATGAAGATGGGCTACAGTTGAGCAAACGAGTGACTACCAACTTCAATACTCGCTCATGGGAACATAGGAACCTGCCTCATACGGAGACCTACCCTGACCAGAAGTGTCTCTCCAGGATTTCAGAAGTAGGGCACTCACAGCCCCAGCTGGAGATGCTGAGGAGCTTCTGAATGCAGAGCAGATGCTCTGCTGAATTTCCCTCTTAACTGGCTTTGCCCTCTGTCCCCCCTCCTCAAGGTTAAGATTACTATAATGAGGGGGCAGGTCCAGAAAGCTCAGGCCAGGTCCAGAAAGGTCTTTCTCCATGTGATTGCAGAGACGTATACAGACTGAGAATGACTGCACTGAGGGTAAAGGTAAAGGGACCCCTGACCATTAGGTCCAGTCGTGACCGACTCTTGGGTTGCGGCGCTCATCTCACTTTATTGGCCGAGGGAACCGGCGTACAGCTTCCGGGTCATGTGGCCAGCATGACTCAGCCACTTCTGGCGAACCAGAGCAGCACATGGAAACGCCATTTACCTTCCCGCTGGAGTGGTACCTATTTATCTACTTGCACTTTGACATGCTTTCGAACTGCTAGGTTGGCAGGAGCAGGGACCGAGCAACGGGAGCTCACCCCGTCACGGGGATTTGAACTGCCGACCTTCTGATCGGCAAGTCCTAGGCTCTGTGGTTTTACCCACAGCGCCACACTGAGGGCAGCCTGTGTCAAAAATTACTTGCAAATCGGTTCACAGATTTCCTTCATCTATTCTTTGCTCAGCTTACTTTTCAGTAACAGTTTCTTCTCAGACCCCAACCCAGACGGGGACTCTTATTTTCCTCTCACCTCCCCTGGCATCCTGTATCTAACTTGTTTTCCTCCCCTCCCATCAGCCACATGAACCATCACTTCTTAAAAGGGAGCAGCCTTGCTCCCTCCCCAACCCTGCTGCCTCTCCATCTTCCACAGTCAAGGCAGAAAGGAATGGAAACAGAAAGGAATCAATTCACAGCTTGTGGTGACAATGCCGCTAAGTGCTCCTTCCAGTCTCCTGCAACACCTCATACCGTGACAGTGCCCAGCCGGCGTCAAAGGACATTGATCACTTCATGTGATTTCTCCCAAATTCCCAGCTCTGAGCTCTTAACTAGCCACAGGGACACAGAAGAGGGCCTTCAAATGTGCGTCATGAAAAGCAAAGCATGCACGAGGCATTCGGCTCCTTACGGTTAAATATCACAAAGCAAAAGGGCACAGATTGTGACAGGAGACTGATAACACGTTGTGATGGCTGGGTAGTACCTCCAGGCTGGATGCTACCTCCCAAGATCTGAGGCAGCATGCCTCTGAATGACAGCCGCTGGGGCATTATAGGGGGAGAGAGCTGTGGCACTCAAGTCCTGCCTGAGGGCTTCCCATAGGCATCTGGTTGGCCACTCCGAAAACAGGATGCTGCTTCCAGATAAGGCTTTGGTCAGATCCAGGAAGGCTTATCCAATCGATCCAAAGCATGGCCTTGGTTAGGCTGGCCTCAACCAGAGCCAGGGCTTTTTCAGACGTGGCCCTGATCTGGTGAAACGCTCTGTCACAAGAGGCTAGGGCCCTGCGGGACTTGACATCTTTCCGCAGGGCCTGCAAGACAGAGCTGTTCCACCAGGCCTTTGGCCAAGGCACAGTCTGACCGCCTCCTTTGGTAATTCTCATAGAATTCTAGCCCAATGGTTGCCATTAATTTGACTCTGAATTATTATTATTATTATTCTCTGCCAGCTCAGCTGGGACCCTCTGTTATTTTGCTCCTCCTCTCCAAGTTCAATCACATGCAAAGGTGCCTCCATGCACTTCTTTTCCTCTTCCCTTCACACTTGTGTATTGGGTGTAATAAATGTTACCTTAAACCAGGTGTGGGGAAACTTTGCCCCACTACAGGTTGCTGAAGTACAACCCCCTATCACCCCTGGCTATTGGCTATGCTTGCTGGGGATGATGGGAGCTGTAGTTCCAGTGGTGTAGCAGAGGCTGCTGGTGTCCAAAGCGGGGAAAGTGTTGTGCCCCCTTAGTGGACTGGGCAGCTGGAGTGGAGGCGCGGGCCAGAGGATGGGGTGTGCGGATCCGGCAAGGCACATGGCTGCTGGTGACAGTGGCTGCATGCCTTTCTCATCCTTCTGACTTGGGCAGCCCAGGGGACAGGGGGCATGAGCATTGCGCCCCTCCAGAATTTTGCTCCTGGGGACACTGCTGCTCTGTCCCCCCCAACGCTACGCCTCTGTGCAGTTCAGCAACATCTGGAGGGTCAATGGTTCCCAACCCTTGTCTTAAAGTGTGAACAAGGCTGAATACAAATAATAAGCAAATAAATAAAGAGTTGGGATCAACTTACTGCATTTATATATATTAATGACTATGTTCTCTCACCACTGTTGGAGGAAGCATTCTCTGAATACCAGTTGCTGGGGATAAAAAAATAGCTGTTGTGGCACAGGTCCTGCTTTTGGACTTCCCATAAGCCTCTGGGTTGGCCACTGTTAGAACAGGATGCTGGACTAGCTGGGCTTTTGGCCTGATCCAACAGTACTTTTCCTGATGGTATCAAAAGCTGAGGAAAGGTCAAAGAAAACCACTTCTCTGTCCGTTTCCTAAGGGCTTTAACAAGCACAACTGAGGCAGCTTTGGTACCCTATCCTGGCATGAAGCCAGACTGAAAAGGGCCCAGGTAAATTATCTAAACGTGCCTGCAGTTGGATCATCACTACTCACTTCAACACCTTGCCTAAAAGTGGGATATTGGTGACTGGGTGATAGTTGCTCAGCCCTTGTGGGCCCACACAAGTCTTCTTAAGGGCTTATAGCACCACCACATTCTCTTTTTTAATTTTTTAATACATTTTTATTGGTTTTTTAAACATATCATTTCCAACAATCATATAACATAACTTTGTAGCTTATACAATATTTTAGACTTCCGTCAACACCTCTGATGATTTTTTGTTCTTTATCACTTATTCTGCATTTCTTAATTTCTCTATTACTCTTAATTATCATTAACTAATAATTCTCCTCGTAGTCTTTCTTGCAATATTTCAAATAGTCCTCCTTACAGAACTTCTTGCAGTCCTATTAGCATAAGCTGTTCATTGCAGTTACTTTTCAAATCGTTCATATATTTACTTCAGTCTTCTAAGAATCTCTGGTCCCGCAGGTTTCGAATCCTTCCTGTTAATTTATCTAATTCTGCATAGTCCATCAATTTCATCTGCCATTCCTCTTTCGTCGGTAATTCTTCTTGCTTCCATTTTTGTGCCAATAATATTCTTGCTGCTAGCACCTCCACATTCTCAGACTGCCACAAATCAAACTGATCCACCATAACCTGACCAGATGGTGCTTTGGATGCTTCCTCAAGACTCACTCTGGCATCCAATTCTGCGTGAATGTGAGCAATTTCATCTCTGGCCACACGTTAGGCCCCTGATGCACTAAGACAGTCTCATGGTTTCCATGGAGGACATGATGTCCCGAGTGAGCACATCAGGACATGCGCAGCCTAAGTATGTGTTCAACTCCCTCCTACTGAAATCAAGTTGGTACCCAGTTAGGTAGGCTCAGTTTCAAGGGCTTCAATGGGCAGGTTAAATGGATACAGGACGGTGGCCTGAGAGGGGACAAAAGCTACGCAAATGTTGTTTCTGGTTATAAGCCGCAGCACCTGTTGTTTACAAGACTTACATTTATTGAAGAAGCTGCTGCGCCTGCATGGCTGCACTGTCATGTCGCGGGGGCCAGAAATGTAGCAATGCGTCTGGAAAGCACATGCCAAGGTAGCATAATGACAATTGACTCCAGACCCTGGAATCAAGGTGCAGCCTGGGGAGAGAAGCAAAGAGAGGTTAGCCTAACCAACAGGGCTGTCACCCAGTTAACGAAATGTTAGCTGACAAATTAAATTAACGTAAATAAGATAATACTTCTGAAGAAGAAAAGGAAGCACATTTTGCTTGTTTTTTTGGACAAGTGCATGCACATGCCTTCTTAGGAAAGAGGGAATGTCTCTTCTAAGACAATCCTGCCGCTTGCCGTTTTTGCATTAAAAATGATGAATGGTTTTTGAAACCCCAGCTGCCAAATTAATTGGGGACACTATTTTTAGATTTATTAACAGAAATCTTAATAGGCTTTAGATCTATTAATCTAACTGATTGATTTATGCTGCATCCCCAGTGTCAAATCATCCCCATAAGATAGTGGTTTTCAACCAGGGTGCCTTGAATGATGGTCAGGGGTGCCTTGAGCAAGACTGGCCTCTGTCCCTCTTTCCTTCCATCCCTCCTCCGATGCCCTCTCGCATCTCTGCCTCCTAAAGGGTTGCACAACTGTTTATTGCAGCAGCCCTGGCTATAAGCTCCACAGGTGAATTGTGCCTCTGGGACTCTTGGGGCTGGCCAGGGGTTGCGGGGAGGCAGCTCAGAGACTAGGGGTGGCAGCAGTGGCTGCCTGGAGGAATCCCAAAGAGTAGGGAGAACAGGCTGAGAGAACACTCCACAAGAGAGGGTGTTCGAAAAAGGGTAAGAGGCTGCCAGCTCTGCAGGCAAGGGGTAACATAGCTGGGCTCCTGAGCCCCACAGGGGTCCCACAGAAAAAATGTAGTTGGTCAAGGGAGCCATGGACTCAAAAAGGTTGAAAACCTCCGCCATAAGGCATTTAGCACAGCCTGGTGTATTAAACCAATGTTTCTGGAGCCTATGTCAATCCAAACACTTTCCTTGGGTCCCCAGCTGTTATTGGACTACAACTCCCATCATCCCTAGCTAGCAGGCCCAGTGGTCAGGGATGATGGGAGTTGTAGTCCAGCTGGGGACCCAAGTTTGAGAAACATTGGGTTAGAGTGCTGGCTTAGGACCTGGAAGATGAGGGCTTGAATCCGCACTCAACCACAGTGCTCAATGGGTGAGCTTGCACCAGTCACTGTCTCTCAGCCTATGCTACTTCACAGGGTTGTTGTAATGATAAAATGGGGGAAATGTGGTAAATGAATGAATGCCCGCTGCTTGCCCTTGATGGTGCACCTTCCCATGATCCTTGTTTGTGGTTTACGCTTGAGTTTCTGGCTCACCTGGCCTAACAGCCAGCTCTCAATGGGCACTGAAACCCAACTGCCTGGTGCTTAACCCTTATTAAGACATGACAGAAGGCGAACAGCGTTCGGTGAAAACAATTTCAACAGAATTATCATGATGGAGGGAGAGGGAGCCAATTCCAATGAGAAGTCTGATAGCAGAATCGGAGAAATGAGGCAAAGACAACAGTTTACAACAGATGCCCAATAAAGAAATTGATTTTAGCTGGATGAGGATGGGAAAAATGCACAGAAAGCCAATTAGAAGGTAAAGGAGCTACTGGATAATAATCACAAGTTATAAACACCGGCAGGTCACTGATTTCAGTGCTACATCACCAGGCACCACAGTAAACATCATCATTAGTCTTAACTAGGGTTGTCAACCAATTACAGACTTTTTGTTAATCAAGCACTTGCCTCTTAACCAACAGCGTTTTCGGATCCACATAGCCTCTGTTTTGTATAGGTTCCTGCTAAGAAGTCCATGCTATGAATAGTTAGGCAACCTTAAGACCAGGAGTGGGGAACCTCTTTGGCTTCATGGGCCAGATCCTTATCAGGATCGCACTCATGGGTGATTAGCAGAAGAACAGCAAAAGCAGATTTTGCAAGCCCTTATGGCCACCGTGAGGTGGGGGAAGGGGGTGTTATTAGCTTTTGTTTCTTTCTCCTTGTTTTTACCATGTATTTTGTTTCTTATATTGTATTTTTATGTTGTGAACCACCCTGAGATCTACAGATGAAGGGCGGTATACAATTTATTAATAAATAATAATAATAATAATAATAATAATAATAATAATAATGGGATAAACACATACTGCCTGTTACACAATGTTCTGAGGGCCTCACAGTTCTTGCTACACTTGAGGACATTTTTTTTAATCAACATCGATTTTATGTGGCTACATACCTAGATATTTGGATGATTTTTATTAATGTATATGTTTAAATTAAGATGGATGTATGAATGGTTATTGTATCTTAATAACAGCTTATTGTTTCAGGTTTTTCCCCTTCTCCTCTTCCCTCTTAGTCCCCCCCGCCCCCATTTTTCCAACATTATACTTTCTTTGTTAAATCATTAATTAAAAAACAAATAGCAAGCAAAAAATAAATTAACCCATGAGGCTTGTGTGTAATACAATAACCCTATGAACTCTATTCTTAGAACAATTTGAGGGTGGCAACACAAGAAAGGGCCTTCTCAGTGGTGGCTCCCCACTTGTTGAGTGTACACCTGGTGCCATCACAATCCATGTTTAGGTGACAGGCAGAAAAACCCCCACATTCTTATTCACTCATGTCATTGCTCCATAATTTTTTGACTTAGTGGAATAGGGTTGAGCTGGATCTGCTGTTTTATATATATATCTCATTGGTGAGCATTTTAGATTGTTTTTACTCTTGGCTTTCATGCTTTTATTTACTGTTTGTTTCTGTAAGTCACTTTGAGTTTCACCTTTCTGAAAAGAGCAACTAATAAATGAAAACAGCAACACTAATTAAAACACTTCACAGAACAAGTTCAAATGTCAAGATCCATGTTAACAAAACCCTTCAATAAGTTACAAGAATCACAGAATCATAGAGTTGGAAGGGACCCTCAGGGTCATGTAATCCAACTTCCTGCAATACAGAAATGCTGATATGCTCCGCTCTTACTTTAAAAATAGACTTGCATTAAAGTTAGTTAGCTAGAACACCAGGACAAGGCATGACTGGGTTTTGGGTGGGGGAAATGAGGGCAAGATTCACAGCAAGTTTCAAAGACCCATTTTTGGATTAAATTTCAAAGAAGAGGACTGCTCTTTGTAGCTTCACATTAAAGCAGAAAGACTGAATGGATTGGCAAAGCTGGCATTGAAGAAAGTGATCTTCTCACTGGAGGAATCCTGGAATCCCAATGAGGTTTGAGATTCTCTGAAACACAACTGATTTTCTCTGGTTTATAGCAAGTCGCCTAATATGCAGAACTAATATGGGAGCAACAGAAATAGTTATGGCTAATGAATAGCCACACAGGAAGGTGGAGGAACTCCCGCAGCTCCTGCCTGTCTATAAATTGCTCCCTTTCACCAGGACTGTGAACAGAAAACACCTGGGCCGAAACAGCTGCAATGTTCTGGGAAAGTTAATGTACAAAGAAATCTGATTAAGCTGCAAGATTGCAGCTCTAGAAACATCCAGTTCTATTAATTTTAATCTTCTAGAGGGCAACGAACTCCCTCACCTCAAGTTTTCTGTATCTTTTATCTGATCAGAATCCCAAAAGGCAAAATGCTAAATTGCATTACAAACAGAATTACACTGAACAAGAAGCCCCAAGGGAATGTACAGTCCGGTTAATCACAACCCTGCATAGTGTATGTTTCACCTCCTTTCAGGGACACTTGCTCAAATGCCTTTTACATCAAAATATGGCAACACCTCAAATTAATGGGTGCCCTTTATTTCAGAGAATCCCAGCTCAGGGGTGCCTCAGGCTTTCAGTAACAGATCTCCCTAAGTGGCATATGGACAACCCATGGGACTCATGGGGGTCCAAAGGGCTTAGGGCCCTCGTATCTATGGGACCGCCTCTCCTGGTATGCCCTGCAGAGGACCTTAAGGTCCATGAATAACCATAGTTTAGAGCTCCCGGGCCCTAAGGAAGTCAGACTATCCTCCACCAGGGCCAGGGCCTTTTCAGTGATGGCTCCGACCTGGTGGAATGCTCTGTCCCATGAGACTAGGGCCCTTCAGGATTTAACCTTCTTCCATCAGGCATGTAAGACAGAACTATTCCGCCTGGCCTTTAATTTGAATTCACCTGATCTTTTATTTCCCTTCTCTTCCTTCCCCCTGCCCTTTTATGAAGATCACCCGCTCTGAGATCCCACAGCTAATTCTCCCCTGGCCCAAGTAGGACCAATTCAGCCAGCTAGCCCTGGGGATTATCTAATTGATTTTTGAATTTTATTGTTATTCGTGAACCAGGAAGGGCGGGATATAAATAAAAATTTATTATTGTTGTTGTTGTTGTTTAGTCGTTTTAGTCGTGTCCGACTCTTCGTGACCCCATGGACCAGAGCACGCCAGGCACCTCTGTCCTCCACTACCTCCCGCAGTTTGGTCAAACTCATGCTGGTAACCTCGAAAACACTATTCAACCATCTCGTCCTCTGTCGCCCCCTTCTCCTTGTGCCCTCCATCTTTCCCAGCATCAGTGTCTTCTCCAGGGAGTCTTCTCTTCTCATGAGGTGGCCAAAGTACTGGAGCCTCAGCTTCACGATCTGTCCTTCCAGTGAGCACTCAGGGCTGATTTCCTTAAGAATGGATGTGTTTGATCTTCTTGCAGTCCATGGGACTCTCAAGATTATTATTATTATTTATTATTATAAAGGACTCTGTCCTAGCCAATTGGCACTGGAAATAGCTGATTTGTACATTCTTCAGCTGTCTCCTGTGCTTATTGACCAGTCCAGAGGTTCCCAAACTGTAAGCTTCATTCTGGTGATCTGTGGATTTATGGTGGAAGTCAGGAGATGGCATACCCATCATATTAAACATTCAGATTGGTTTTTAATTGTATCTTTATTGCATCATTTCTAATGTCATAGAATTATAGAACTGTAGAGTTGGAATGGACCCCAAGGGTCATCTAGTCCAACCTCCTGCAATGCCAGAATCTCTGCTAAAGCATCCATGACAGATGGCCATCCAACCTCTGCTTAAAACCTCCAAGGAAGGAGAGTCCACAACCTCCTGAGGGAGACTGTTCCACTGTCAAACAGTTTTTACTGCCAGAAAGTACTTCCTGAGACATTTGAAGATGGCTATCATATTTCCTCTCAGTCTCCTCTTTTCCAGGCTAAACATACCCAACTCCCTCAACCATTCCTCATAAGGCTTGGTTTCCAGACCCTTGTATTACAGCTTGAATTCCACAGAATATATACAAAATAAGCCAGGCCTGCTCTCCACCTGAGGCCTTTAATGTTGCATGCAGCGCTTTAGGGCTCCACGGTTGCCCACTCTTGCCCTAAGTACAGTGGTACCTCGGGTTAAGAACTTAATTCGTTCCGAAGGTCCGTTCTTAACCTGAAACTGTTCTTAACCTGAAGCACCACTTTAGCTAATGGGGCCTCCTGCTGCTGCCGTGCCACCACCAGGCGATTTCTGTTCTCATCCTGAAGCAAAGTTCTTAACTTGAGGAACTATTTCTGGGTTAGCGGAGTCTGTAACCTGAAGCGTATGTAACACGAGGTACCACTGTAAAAAAAAGGTCCAAGCCTCTCCAACTGTAATTTCTTCTAACTCTTAAGAAGGGTATGTGAAGGAGCAGGGTCACTGTTGCAAACCGAATCAATATTTTAAGGGAGTGGGCAGTGTAGTAATATTTTTATATATAAATATAAGCCTACAATTTTAAGCAAACGTTGCTCATAAAAGCAAAGGAGGTCCTCCCACTGAAGGAATAGGCAAGCAGGTGGCCTTAGGGCAAACTCATATGTCAGCATCACCTTCTGACTTAAGAATAGTCCTTCACTTCTACCATTTACTCAAGTTTCTTTCTAGCACAAATTTCATCGGCTACTTTAAGTGCTTCTGAGCTCCTCTCCCACTTTTGCAGCACCTGCTGCAAAAATGCAGTAGTAATTGTACTTGCACGAAGTTTTTTTTAATTAATCAATGACTATGTGGAAAGGGTTCTGAATTTTTTTCAGATTATTTAGATTATTCAGATAATTTTTCAGATTATTCAGATTATTTTCAGATTATTCAGACATTATTTATGTCTCCTGTGGACAGATGCATTCAAATAGTTTTTATTCCAGTTCATGTTACAGTGGCAGCTAGGCAATATCAGATTGCACTCTAGGTCTGATTCAAATGCAACAAGGTTCCTTTTTCTGTCACTTGTTCGCAACAGTTCAATCTTCATAATGTAAACTCAGAAGTAAATCCTACTGAGTTCAGCAGAGGTTACTCTGACTGGGGTTAGGATTGCAACCTTAAAAAAGAGAGACACAGCTATAGAACAGAACTTTTCCATGTAGCGTATGGACTAGGAAAACCTTGCCAGTTTCAAAGTTCATTTCTTGAAAAGGGGCAATTTTATAGATCTGGAAGAAGGCAGGTTGGGATGTATCATTCTCCAAAAATAGCTATAATGGATGCGGTGACATTTAAAGCAGAAATAACATAGCTTGTGAATGTTGGTAGTGTGCATTAACTGAACTGGAGAAAGACTGAAATGATTTAATGGTGTAAACGTCTACTCAGAAGGCAGTCATGTAAGAGACGTTTACTCCCAAGTCAGCATATATAAGATTGCTGGGGGTATTGGGAGTTTCAGCTCAGCAGATATTCACAGCTGGGGTAGATCTGAACAGGAGACAGGAAGGGAACACATGCTTTGCATGCAAAACATTCCAGTTTAAACGTCCCTGGCATCTCCAAGGAAGGCTGGAAAAGACCTAGGTTTAAAACTATGAAAATCCACTGCCAGCCAGCATAGCCAACTGGTTACCAATGTGATGACCTCCAGGGGTTGTTTGACTGCAAGTCGGCATGGCTGCTGCTCAGGAATGGTGGAAGTTATAAGTCTTAAAACCTGGAGGGCCCCACATCTACTGAACTAGATGGACCATTGGTATAATGTGTCAGCCTCCTGCCGAGAAAGTCTATATATATTTACTGGGGCGGGCTATGTTCAACAGAGCAGCGTGTTAGAAACTCAGATATATAATTTAGGCGCCAAATGGCTCCATTACTTATGCCCTACATTCCTGGCGTGCTCTGGTCCATGGGGTCACGAAGAGTCGGACACGACTAAACAACACATTCCCCCCACCCCAGGCGGTTTACAGATAAAAATAAGAACCGCTACAAAAACAGGGGGAAGGGGAACCCACCATTAAAAACAACTGATAAATATATTGCATATTCTCTCAACGGTCAGCCCCGTTGTACTCCCAAGTACACGCGCGATCCTATCCTATCTGCACGGTCGCTTGCGAGTGAGGAGCCCTCGCGACGGGGGCCTGTCTGGGATTTCGCTGCCTGGCAGCTGCGCTAAACCGAGGACCACAAGGCCCGAGGCGGCGGCGATGGGAGGCGGTAGGATCTGGGCAGAGTCAGGCGAGGGGAACGTACGAGGGACACAAGCCGCCGCCTCGAAGGGCGAGAGCAGCCGCAGGCCAAGAGCTTCCCGACCCCGCCGAAGAAGCAAGACTAAGTAAAAAAGGGGGCTTCACCTCTCCACGCGGCTCTGAGGGCTCCGGCGCTGCAGGCTTTTTGAGCCACCACAGCTATGGCGGCCGCCATCTTGGCGAAGATCCTCCTCGGCCACCGTACTTGGTGACCGCGCGTTTGCCCGAGACCTTAAAATCTCCAGGACGCGGCGCCCATCACCGGCTCCGTTTCGCGGCGCTCAGCACGGCGGTCAGGGAGGTATGAGGGAGCGGGCGAACCTTGACTCGCCTGCCCATATTTTCAGTATGCGCTGCAGGCAGTACTGTGGACAGCCCCTTCTTCCCGGTGGAGGGGGCCTTCCCGTTAGGACCCGAAGACTCCTCCGCTCGTTAGGTAGAGGCAGCCCAAAGGGGGTCAACAAGCCGCTTGTGGTTTTTCAATACACTTCCGGGAGTGGTTCAGAAAGCCCTCACGGAATCTCCCATGTGCGGGGCTGCGAGGGGCAGCTGCCCGCGCAAGCTAACGTGGAAATGCCAAAGAGGTAGATGGAGCAGTGTCGTTAGGCTCGTTTTCAATTGGAGTGTTTTGAAAGCAGGATCAAAATGGGTGCAAGGGAGCCTGGACTATTTCTCTGGCTTTTTATGTATTTAAAACGTTCATAAACCACATAATTATTTTTAAAACACTTCGTGTTTTGAACAAAAGAAACCCCAGCAAACAGCACAATGAAAACAAAAATGGAACATAAAACCAGTAACACAGCTCATAAAATCTCATAAAAACAAATCAAGGACTGCAAAAAACTATCCTGTGTGTCAGTTACAACCTGTCTTCCGTAGCTCACCTGGAGTTCTCCTCCATGCTAACTGACTCCTGTCATTCAAAGTTGAAACCCTAAACCCTGGCCTTTGCCTCTGCCCACTAGCACCCAGTAAGGAAGGGGCCCCACTCTCCCATACCTTTGTTCCTTGCTAATGGCTGATCCAGTGGGTTTCTGTGTTTGGCAAAGTTTAATCAAACCTCGATCAATTCTAACTTTTACCAAATCCAGGCACTATGAGGATCTGGCACCCCCACAAACCCATAACGATACATTTTGTTGGAAAACAGATGGGCAATGTGAGGTTATCTTCCTCACTCTGGATCTTTTGCATCAATCTGTGGTAATAACCTCAGTGCTTGTGCTAAAAATAAGTTTAATGCTTGCATTTTATATATATAAAAGCTGCTCCATCACAAATTATAACAGATAATTTCCTTCCACTCCTCCCCAACCCCCTGGTTATTTAGTTTTTATAACTAGTTTTAAAATTATGTTTATCTAATTAAGTTTTTGCTCTAATGGACACAACTGGCAAAAGCTGTGGGGAGAACAAAGTCGAGTAACTGGACAATGAAAAGTGCCGGTTGCAGACTGGCTGTTTCACACAATCCCTTCCCCAGCCTGAATGGATGGTAGCTTAACTTCTTTATCTTGTTATGACAGATGTTTGAGGTGACTGGCTGGCAGAGCAATCTTTTCTAAATCAAGATGAATAGCTGTGTAATGTTTTGCGGTCTTAAGGTAGGGAAGTCAACCTCAAAACTGTTGAACTTTTTTGGGGGAACACACACTTCCTGGTTCTGTTGGCAAAAACCCAGACATTTTGCTGATTTTTTTGAATTCCCCCCTCCCCCAATAGTTTTGCCATTTGACTCCTGTACTTGTCCAGGACATATGGCAAACTTGCTTATGGCTGCATTTGGGAGAGTCAGTGTAGCACCAGTGGCTGGTAGAGCAATCCCCAAACCAGAAGAAGCCAGAATAATTTAAGCCGCTGTAGTTTACCCCGTTTGCTGATAGCAGTGCCTTTAAGAACACAAAGACAGCCATTAAGAACAACTGACCAGGCAGGTCTTGTCCTTCCTGCAGCTGAGAAATGGACAGAAACAGAAGAACTGAAAGGGGGAGGTTGCCAGTATAATGTTGTTGTTGTTTAGTCGGGTCCAACTCTTCGTGACCCCATGGACCAGAGCACGCCAGGCACTCCTGTCTTCCACTGCCTCCCGCAGTTTGGTCAAACTCATGCTGGTAGCTTCAACAACACTGTCCAACCATCGCATCCTCTGTCATCCCCTTCTCCTTGTGCCCTCCATCTTTACCAACATCAAGGTCTTTTCCAGGGAGTCTTCTCTTCTCATGAGGTGGCCAAAGTATTGGAGCCTCAGCTTCACGATCTGTCCTTCCAGTGAGCACTCAGGGCTGATTTCCTTAAGAATGGATAGGTTTGATCTTCTTGCAGTCCATGGGACTCTCAAGAGTCTCCACCAGCACCATAATTCAACAGTATCCATTCTTTGGCGATCAGCCTTCTTTATGGTCCAGCTCTCACTTCCATACATCACTACTGGGAAAACCATAGCTTTAACTATTCGGACCTTTGTTGGCAAGGTGATGGTCTCTGTTTTTTAAGATGCTGTCTAGGTTTGTCACTGCTTTTCACCCAAGAAGCAGGTGTCTTTTAATTTCGTGGCTGCTGTCACCATCTGCAGTGATCATGGAGCCCAAGAAAGTAAAATCTCTCACTGCCTCCATTTCTTCTCCTCCTTCTTCTTCTGACTAGTATAATAAGGGGCCAGTAATAATGAGGGGACGCGGGTGGCGCTGTGGGTAAAAGCCTCAGCACCTAGGGCTTGCCGATCGAAAGGTCGGCGGTTCGAATCCCCGCGGCGGGGTGCGCTCCTGTTGCTCGGGTCCCAGCGCCTGCCAACCTAGCAGTTCGAAAGCACCTCTGAGTGCAAGTAGATAAATAGGGACCGCTTACTAGCGGGAAGGTAAACGGCGTTTCCGTGTGCGGCTCTGGCTTGCCAGAGCAGCGATGTCACGCTGGCCACGTGACCCGGAAGTGTCTCCGGACAGCGGTGGCCCCCGGCCTCTTGAGTGAGATGGGCGCACAACCCTAGAGTCTGTCAAGACTGGCCCGTACGGGCAGGGGTACCTTTACCTTTTATAATAGGGGACGTGATGTCAGCACATTAAAAGAGGTGTCCTTTTAAAACAGAGGTTTTGGAGCAAGGGTTTCTGGGAATAAGAAGGCAGGGGCAGGACTCCACATGGCTGGAGGAGGCTGCACCCAGAGACCTGGGAGCCTGGCTGGCTGGCTGATGCTTGGGACCCAAGCTTTCTGAAGCTATAAGAGAAGTGAAGAAGAAGAGACTTCAGAGAAGTGTGACTGCCCAAGGTCACCCAGCAGCTGCATGTGGAGGAGTGGAGACGCGAACCAAATTACGAGTCTACCACTCTTAACCACTACATAACACAGGTGATAGATATACTCTTGCGATGCAATGTTCTGCTGCACTCCTTCCACTGAAACTCAAGTTTTAAATATGTCTAAAATAAACCATATTGCATAAAGACATGACAGTCACTGCCATGCCTCATTCCCAAGGAACACAAGCCCTCCTAGTTAAGAGCCAAGACCTTTGCAATCTTGCTGCCAATAGGCAGAGGTTGGTGTGGCCTGTAACAGTATAATTTTGCCAAAATGCACCTTTTGCAAAGCAATTTCCCCTGATAACGATGCATTTTGGTACATCTTGTTTTCACTAAAATATTCCTTTGTACACACAATTTGCCACAGTATATGCATTTCCATCACATTGCTTGGCAGGAGAAACGCGTTGCAAAATTTGGAAAAGTGCAAATTTTGAAGGATACCTGTGTCATGTTTCACATACTGTTTTGGGAAATGTAAATTTGGTAACTTTACGTTTAAATACGAATGGAGCTGAATTTCTCCCCTTACTCCCCTACATTTCTTGCAGGACTACTGCCACCAGGAAAGAAAGCAAATGGTCTCCTAATTCAGTAATTGCAATCACGGTCGTTGTAGGAGGCCTCAAGAAACCAACCAGAACCTTTTCTTTTTCTTTCTGTGGTTTGAAAAATAAAATAAAAAGGCGAGGCTCACAAAGCGAAAAAGATACAGTAATCCTCACTTTGTCATCTGAATGGCGAAGGAAGCAAATCTTAATTTAGCTGCCTCGTGTGTTCTCTCCTGTGGAACCTGCATTTCTCCTTGATGCAGCTGAGGCTTTGCCTGAAAGGGATTAAGGAAATCAGCCCTCGCTTTGCTCCCGGTATTTTACATAATGGCGTGAAGTTTAACCAGTAAAAGTATCAAGAGGCGGTAATGAGGCTCTAGCAAAAGTAATAATTTCCACGATTTGTGTGTGGTGTCGTAAATTAACTTCAGATTAAAGGAGAGAAAAGGAGAGGTTGAGTTCAGAGTGGCGTCTTGCATGCTTAAGAGAGATTTTGCAGAAAGCTAGAAAACTCATGCTGGCTAGGGAGATGTAATGTGCGATGGAGCAACTTAATGGAGCCCCGAGGTTTATTACCTGAGCTAGATCAGTAATGAAAGGACGTGGACCAACCTATCCTATTAAGGAGCAGCAAACCATGAGAGTACATAACGTTTGTATCTCAAGTACTTTGTGGGGTTTTCCCCCCAGCAGCTGGAGAAAATTCTAATACTAGCAAGCTCCCCTTCTTTAATAAGCCTTTGGAGAATGTAAATTTAGGGACAGATGCAGAAAGGGGAAGTAGAGCCGCTATATGTCCTGTTCTACAGAAGATACCGGTAGTTCTCAATTTGACAACATTGCCTATTGAGACGGAAGTCCAGTCTAAGTCTGCATTAAAGAAAAAGAACTCACAAAGGGAGAGCTGGAGAGGCCTTGATGTTGCCCATCAGCTCTCAGCACCTGATAGCTGACTGAGCAGCATATAGTCCCCACTATGGTGAAATGTACAGGGACACGGGTGACGCTGTGGGTTAAACCACAGAGCCTAGGGCTTGCCGATTGGAAGGTCGGCGGTTTGAATCCCTGTGACGGGGTGAGCTTCCCTTCCTTGGTCCATGTTCCTGCCAGCCTAGCAGTTTGAAAGGACGCAGTGCAAGTAGATAAATAGGTACCGCTCTGGCGGGAAGGTAAACAGTGTTTCCATGCACTGCTCTGGTTTGCCAGAAGTGGCTTAGTCATGCTGGCCACATGACCCAGAAGCTGTACACCGGCTCCCTTGGCCTATAGAGCGAGATGAGCGCCGCAACCCCAGAGTCGTCTGTGACTGGACCTAATGGTCAGGGGTCCCTTTACCTTTACCTATGGTGAGATGTATTGTATTTCTATTTAAATCATAACAATGGGGAAGAGAGATTTTGTGCTAGCCATCAGGCAATGGCTTTTCCATCCTGCCTTGCCCCACCCTACAGCCCTAGGAGCCTTTCCCAGACCATAACATTAAGACAGGGTCTCCCAGACTTGGGTCTCCAGCTGTTTTTGGACTACAATTCCCATCATTGCTGACCACTGGTAGCTAGGGATGATGGGAGTTGATGTCCTAAGGCTTATTAGTAGAAGGAACGGTTCTCAACAAAGTTTTTGTCTTCCTGACTTGGGGGAATATGCATGATAGTTACTGTAGCTACCCTTTGCCCTGTGCTTTTGTCTTCTTAAAAGACCATATACTGAGTCATTGGTCTCCAAAGTCCATTTCAGGGGCCTAATACGGCCCTCTGGTCAGTTTAATCTGGCCCCTGTGGCAGTTTATTGTTTCTTTCCTGGGGTAAAATCCTGAAAAAACCTCAACAACTTCAACCCTAAGAAAAGCTCAACTACTTTGGGGTAAAATCATAAAAAGGTCAACAACCTCAATCCTAAAAAAGGTCAACAACTTGGGTTGGCTCTTTGGTCGGCCCTCAAGGCCCTCCACGTCATCAAATCTGGCCCTCTTTAAAAAAAGTTTGGACACCACTGAATCTAGTTCAGTATTGCTTTACACTGACTGGCAAGATTTACAGGGAGGAAGTTCTCCCTGGACTGATGTAGGTGATTGAATTTAGGGCCTTCAGCATGCAAAACAGATGCTCTCGCATGGCTGTTACCTCACCAGGGATCTTTTCATAGAGCCTTGTTTGCACATTCATCGCTCTTAGTTCATCACAGAAGTATCTCAGGTGCGCTGCTGTACCTTCAACACACAATACCTTTAACAAGAAGAGAAAATAGCAGATGCCCATTCACTACTTTCAAAGGGATTAGCCAGCTTTGGGAGCAGTTCACCAGAGGCAACAGTTTTCTAATTTTCAGAAAAAGGCACAAAGGTTTCTAAAAAGTTACGCTGTTCTTCATAATTTAAAGAAAAACCACAGCGCCGCTGCCCCACACCCCCGGAGTGCAGCATCTGTTTATTAAGACTCTACAATACGATCACAAAGAACTGTTTTGTTCTTGAAACATGCTGAGAAATTGCACAGAATGAAAAGTAAAGATGATGCGGAAAGCATGGTAGCAACCGTTACCAACGTGCATTGTTATCGAGAGGCTGAAAAGACATTGGCCGCAGAAATGGAAAATTACAATCTGGATTATAGCATTTCTGCTCCTATCCCATTATTGGATGCTTTGCCTTCATAGGCCACATTTTTAGGGAGGGGAAAGGGGTTCTATTTAGATAGAAGAAGAAGAAGAGTTTGGATTTGATATCCCGCTTTATCACTACCCTAAGGAGTCTCAAAGCGGCTAACATTCTCCTTTCCCTTCCTCCCCCACAACAAACACTCTGTGAGGTGAGTGGGGCTGAGAGACTTCAGAGAAGTGTGACTGGCCCAAGGTCACCCAGCAGCTGCATGTGGAGGAGCGGAGACGCGAACCCAGTTCACCAGATTACGAGACTACCGCTCTTAACCACTACACCACACTGGCTCTTCAGAACGAATTAAGTTCTTAACCAGAAGTACAGAATTGATCCAGGGATGGTGTGGGGAGAGGAAGAAATGTTCTGGTAGTCTCAAAGATCCTAGCTAATTGGTGCCCATCACAGCAGACTCCTTCTGGGTCAAATTGAAGTAGGAAGCCGTACTTTTTTGGGGGAAACTCGCCTTGGGATAGAAAAATGTTTGGAGGGCAGCAACTGCACCATCAAACCCCTCTTTAAATGTTACGTTTGCCTTCACCCTGATGTGGAGTAATACATTCAGCTCATTGAACTCACCAGAGGTGCCACAAATGAACCCTAGCAAGTAAAAAGATGAGGAAGGGCCCCAAAGGAATCCAGGATGGCTCTGTTGCATGGTAATGATCAGGTTAGCAGTAGGTCCTTAAGAGTGATGTGTGGCTACCATTTATTGTGGTGTTGTGTGTGCTCACATGTACACTCACGGCTGATTTTTCTGATGATAGGGATGGAGAATCACATCTGGGGCAGACCAGTCCTGGGCCTTTTGAGGTCCTGAGGCACTTACACTTGGTCCAGTATGCTACTTTGTGGAATGGGACCTACAAGGAAACCTATATTCCACCCCCACCCCCCAGCCTGCGCAGATGACGCTGTAAAAAGATGTTACAAAAGAAAAACACACATAATTTTTAGTATCCGTTTCTGTGATGTGATGATTTGTACTTTAAATCCAGGCCCTCTTGTAAACACTTGGATATCGAGCTAATAAATAATGGGACAAGGACCAGAAGATACAAAGACATATTTTGTACAATGTGGGGGTTTGGGTAAATTCTGTGTAATTGGCAGTTCCTTGCACTGCAATTCAGAGTCCCTGTCAAGAAACTGAAAATGTATATGCCTTGATGTGACAGATTTGGGTTGATAGCCTGAATTACCAAAGAAATAAAAATAAAAATGAACGCAACACATCTTTCTCTCGAACGTGGCATGTGTTTGGGATCCGTGATACCTATGTGATATGTTACAGGCTGGCCTGCGGGCTTGCTTTTCTGTAACAATATGGAATTGGGTTGTAGCTGCTCGTCATTGCCAGTGTCACAAGCCCTTTCCAAAAGATACCTCTGACACTTGTGTTCTGTACATAGTATGCTTGGTGTTAAGGTTTCCAGTGGTTCTCAACCTGTGGGTCCCCAGATGTTGTTGGACTACAACTCCCATTATCCCTGAGCTCTGGCCTTGCTAGCTAGGGGTGATGGGAGTTGTAGTTCAACAACATCTGGGGACCCACAGGTTGAGAAAGGCTGGTTTAGACATACTACCGGTATGTTGTAGGTTTAAGTTAAGTCTGCTGCAACTGGATTTCTTATGGACAGTGCCAATCCTGAATGTATTAGATTTGTGACCATTATGCTCATTTGCCTTCAGTAGCAGTAAAGAACTGCTGGATGAAATATGATTGCCTCTGGTCTATTTTTTTTTTGGGGGGGGGGGAATGCTGCAATGTGTTCAAGCTTTTACTCTGCTAACTCTATGTTGAGATCTGCTCTGGATCAATACTGAGTAGAATTGCATGACACAGACAACACGCGGAATCACAAGGAAGGATGGTGCTGAATTTTACTCAAGCTTGTTGTTGTTGTTGTTTAGTCGTTTAGTCGTGTCCGACTCTTCGTGACCCCATGGACCAGAGCACGCCAGGCACTCCTGCCTTCCACTGCCTCCCGCAGTTTGGTCAAACTCATGTTGGTAGCTTCCAGAACACTGTCCCACCATCTCGTCCTCTGTTGTCCCCTTCTCCTTGTCGTCTACCTTCTCTTTCCCAACATCAGGGTCTTCTCCAGGGAGTCTTCTCTACCCATGAGGTGGCCAAAGTATTGGAGCCTCAGCTTCAGGATCTGTCCTTCCAGTGAGCACTCAGGGCTGATTTCCTTAAGAATAGATACGTTTGATCTTCTTGCAGTCCATGGGACTCTCAAGAGTCTCCTCCAGCCAGTGGCGTAGCGTGGGAGGTGCAGGGGGGGCCGGCCGCACCGGGCGCAACATCTGAGGTTAGGGCAAATCCATGGGCTGGGGGGCGCAAATCCACAGGTTAGGGGGCTCAAATCCACGGGTTGGGGGCGCAAATTACTTGCCTTGCCCCGGGTGCTGACAACCCACACTACGCCACTGCCTCCAGCACCATAATTCAAAAGCATCAATTCTTCTGCGATCAGCCTTCTTGATGGTCCAGCTCTCACTTCCATACATCACTACTGGGAGAACCATGGCTTTAACTATACGGACCTTACTCAAGCTTAGAGGTAGCCAATGTGTTGTCCTTCAGCTGTAGTTGGATCCATCCATGAGAACATAAGAAGAGGAGCCTTAGGGATCAGGTCAATGGCTCATCTAGTCCGGCATCCTGTTCCCACACTAGCTGACCAGATGTCCCTGTAGGAAGACCACAAGTGGGACATATGTTAGTGCAACAGCACTCTGCCCCATCTGCAATTGCCGGCAACTGGTATTCAGAAGCAATAATGCCTTCTGACAGTGGAGGTAGAACATAGCCATCAGGCTAGCAGCTGTTGAGAGCTTTATCCTCCATTGATTTGGTGCCTCCTGTGGAAAATGACTCCATCATTTAACTATTCCTTTTTTAAAAAAAAAACACATTTTCATTGATTTTCCAATAAAAAACATCCAATTAATATCCAATTAATATATCCAATCATAATACTCCAATTAAAATAAAAAAACTAAAATAAAAATGACCAAATTATAGTCCAAATTATAATTATATAATAATACTGTCTGGTTCTCTAAAGCATATCTCCACTTCTCAGTCCTGACTCTCCTTGTTGCTTCCATATTTCCCACATCTCGATTTTGACACTTTATAATTCCCGTCCCTGAGTCCACGATTCTCAATCATGTCAAACATCATATACTTTCATCCGTCGAATACAACTTTGTTAATATATATTTTTTCCAACTGTCTTTTTATCAGTGCATCTTCCTCTGACTCCGTTCCGATCTGGGATGTTGTCCAAGTCTGTTATCTGTCACATAATTTAACTATT